ACCAATTCTATCCCGGATCTTCACAGGTCACACTTCAGACGAGATGTTTGACATGTGTGATACTACTGCCTGGTAAAAGATCAAATGCATTGCAGATGACATTGAAATTACTAATCATTTTGGAACACACGTGAAAAAACACAAAATTACAGTTTTCTACTCTTTCACTGTGAAATATTCCACAGCAATTTCGTTCAAAGGCCCGGCCACTGCCCTCTAGGTAGATGTTTCTGCGGTTGGTGTATGACGTCACAGTATGGGGGGGGGGGGGGGGTAATTTCAGTCACCAGTTCCAGCTGCGGTTTTCTCTTCTCTTTTTATTTTCAATTCCGATTACAAGCTGGACAATGAACCCCTTTCTGTAACGCTAGCGTTAACTAACGGGAATGAAAATCTTTCAAATGTCCAGTGTTTCTTTCGACTACCAATACTTAGGAAAATCTTGAAATATCATTTCAATTTCGCAAATATTCACCTTTTAATAAAAAGTGACTTCACTGTAGGACTGTATCTAATCGGTTCAAATTAATCCAAATATCGATGCGCAAACCCGCGAAGTTATTTTTTTACAGCGGTTTTTCGATTCATACTTCAACCTCAATGAAACGGAGTCAATCCTTATAATCAAATTTCCCAAAATAAGTGTAATGAGAAAAGATCAATACATTTCAAAAATACATCTGATGAGATCGATTAACACTCAATTCGTAGGAATTCATTTTGTGTCATTACACGAATCAGGTGACTGCTTAATTTGTGGCCACGCCTCCAAAGTCAATAGCCAATCGACGCCGAGTAGCATCTGACAAAGTTGAAAGTGCCTGTCAATCATGGCAAGATACGCGAAAATACAACGTGTAACGAATCAGAACAAGCATTACTCAAAAACACTGAGAAAGTTCCCAATGTTGGCACATATATAAAGGGGAATCACTCCCAACTGGAGTGTGACTAGAGAGGTTATCTGCCTTGAGTTATCAAAGGTCACGGTCACACGATTAACACCATTTGAACCATCTTTCCGAAGCAAGAGTGTCCACTATCCTATACCAAAGCCTAGTTTCCACCTTGGCCATTTTAAACCTACATTTCTGTGATAAAATAAGATGACTATCGCACATATCGAGAGTCCAATCAGAGAACGTTTTACAAAATCAACATCCGGGTTCCAGTTTTCAATACACGCCTAAGTACTTTCATATATTTGATTGCAAACTTCATTGGTTCTTTTTTGTTCGAAAGACTTATCGCTTATCGCAGTAAGTGAGACACAGTGCCATATTTAAACATGAGCGTTTCGTGTTACTACGATGTGCACTGTTACTTGATACACTGTAGAGCATCATTACTTGTAAGAGCGAAATGCGTCATCAACAAGTATCTTTTTCTGATGTAATTTGATCAAAGATTAAATATTTGTGTTATCTGATCGAGCAGGTCGTATGCAATGGTAGCAGTCAGTATGAAACCTTAGAGACATGAACAGCGATCTGATTTGATATCGCGTATTCATCACAAGGGCGCAACTCGTGTTCTACAGGGGGTGGCGCAAAGATCGAACCAAGAAAAGACTTGAAATGGCAACGGTGGAAACGAGGCGTTGATATAGACTTGTGGCATTCTTGCCTCGGGAAAATGTGTTTGAACGTGAAGCATATTATATATGTGGAACAGACCCTCTCTTGCATGGCTTACAATCATCGTAGCGTATGTAGGTTTGTTGTAGTTCGTTTGTTTGTTCTTTAACACTGTACTGTTAAAATACTCTTACCATTGCACACTCATATGAAACCCAGGTCCGCTTGATCGTTCGTCAGCTCTTTTAATTAATAATTCGTTTCCGAAGCACAGCAACACGATCTACATCAGAATTTAGTTAATAGTAGTCAGACGCTGGACCAAAGATATCACTTATGTTGGGCCAACGTTGGCCAACATTATTTTGACCGCCGGCCAAACGTTGGCTAAATATCATTTGGCCAACGTTGGGCTGCCGGTCAAAATAACGTTGGCCCAACGTCCTATTATCCCTCAGCACCTCACAGGCAGCCTGAAATGTTTGTTCCAGTTGAGTTATGATATCACGTAGTAAGCAATACATTCTGCAAGCTGACTTAACTTTGAATTGTTTCCATTAAACAGCAAGTCAATGAAATGCACTCTCTCTTAACAGGGTACCTCATGGTTGTTTGATGTAGGGTCAAATCTCAATATGTACATGTACAAGTAGGTTAAACATTATTTACTTTCCAAAACAACATTTTAGGCTATGTACAATTTATTCACATATATTTCAATACTATGAAACGATATTTGATTTTCCCATTAATTTGTAAATTAAAATCCACCAGACAATGAGCCCTGCACAAAGCCCCACATAATGATGTGAAATAGTTAAATCTTTCTTGGCTTTACCCCATACATTCAGCATTGAGAACAACACTCAGACCAGCAAAATAGTCTCTGCATCTGATGTGCCATGATCCCTGTGACGATCTGGGGTAGAATAGGTCTTCAGCAACCCATCCTTGCCATAAGAGGCGACTAATGGGATCGGGTGGTCAGGCTCGATAACTTGTTTGATGCATATCGTATCGATGCTCATGACATCACTCACTGGGTTGTCTGGTCCAGACTCGTTTACAAACAAACCTATACACGTCAGGAGGAGGAGTATATCCCCGGTGAGAAGTGGTCTGAGGGCGTGGTCCTTAAAGACTGTGGTCCCGAAGGCACACGTGCATTTTGCTAGACTCCCATTCCTCTTGGCACGAGACACTTGAACTCGTTGAACTAGCACGTGACATAGTTATCATCACACCTCTCAATGACTTTGAGGGGCGGTCGGGTAGCCTAGTGGTTAAAGCGTTCGCTCGTCACGCCGAAGACCCGGGTTCGATTCCCGACATCGGTGAAATGTGTGAAGCCCATTTCTGGTATCCCCCACCGTGATATTGCTGGAATATTGGTAAAAGCGGCGTAAAACAATACTCACACAGTGGCTTTGCCCCTGGACAAACCTGTGTCTGACCCCAATCCCAACAACCCAGACAGGTATCAGGTGGTGAAAGGGAGGGGCCAAGACTCTTTCTGCAGGCACATAAAAAACATTTTCGCCTTTCGTGATATGTTACTAGTTGTTTTTCTGTCCTTTTTGGACATGATTTTATTTTAATCTGGAGTTTAAATAATTATAGCTGAAAAACTTGCTAACTCAGTTTTATTCAGAAGAAAGCTTGTGGCCAACAATCACTCACAACAGATATCTCTCAGATTTTACGAGCGCTTGCGACAATTTAAAACAAATTCTTCCATTTCATCAGTTTAAAGTGAATAATTTTCGAAATATTGTTTTCTAGAAAATCTATCAAAGCGTGTAATCATATCTATAGTAAGAGGCGACTAACGGGATCGTGTGGTCAGGCTCGCTGACTTGGTTGATACATGTCATCGTATCCCAATAACCTGAAGATCCGGGTTGGAATAGGTCTTCAGCAACCCATACTTGCCGTAAAAGACGACTGTGCTTGTCGTAAGAAGCGACTAACGGGATCGGGTGGTCAGGATCAGACTTGGTTGATGCATGTCATCGTATCCAAATTGCGTGGATCGATGCGCATGACGTCAATCACTGGATTGCCTGGTCCAGACTCGATTACTTACAGACCGCCGTGATATAGCTGGAATATTGCTGAGTGAGGCGTCAAACAACAAACCAACCAACCAACTACTTCAATTATACCTCTGTGTTTTGCAATTACTTTGTTTTTGAACCATAACATAAGCTTACCTGACATTTTGGTTGTAAACGCCACACACAGGCTGTAAGCGACGGCTTAAATAATCCGAGTCTGGACCTGATAAACCAGTGCCCCATTACATGTGCAACGCCCTACTCTTTCAACCGAGCCTGATCGACAGGTCCATTTTTGAAGCGTACGTAAAATATATTCAACAGGGGAGATAATTCAGACATCAAGCGATCATAAAATGAGTTCTTATGAATTTCAAATACAAAAAAATAAAAGTGTAAGATGAGGTAATCAATGCAGAATAAAAGTATATTTTTTTATTGTTTTATAAGTTATACAAATCGTGTACATCGCTGTAAAAGTGTTTCTCAGATACTCCCCTATTCCTGTGAATAACCGAGTCTTACCGAATTTCTCTCAATAATAAGCTAAAAGACAGCCACTCAATTGGCCCCTTCTGGTTGTGAGTTCAGCAATGATCTACATTTCATATCGAGGTTGTGCGAGCCCTGAACATATTTAATCCTATCAGAAGAAAAAAAATATTTTTATTAAATATATTTTTCCAAAAAGATGTTACCGCGTAAATCCTTAGTCCAGAAGACTCTGTGAGTATTTGAGACAGCACGCCAAAGTCAAGCTGACTCGTGGCGGTATAGGTTTAGGGAAGCTGTTTCTATTATTCGCACTGATACCGGTTTTACAGTTCAAGCCCACTACGATACTATGCCACAGTGTAACATGAAAAATCCCACTCAGACACAGTAAACTGACTTCGAGCCGACTAGTCCTTGTTTTATTCTCTTAATGAGGCAGGGTAGAAACAAGTAACATCTTTTAAAATTATTCTTTTGGTATGACACGGCTGGGGTGCGAACAACTGACCTTCCGCTCTCTGGACAGACGCTTCATCTACTAGACAACGGAGGCGGTCCTTCAGAAAGACAAGGGAGTGCAAAACATGTACGTTATACATCTCTTTGATCACTGCCAGATTGCAATTTTGAGATGCTCGTACATTCCATGCATCAAAGGGGTGGTCGGGCAGCCTAGTGGTTAAAGCGTTGGCTCGTCACGCCTAAGACCCGGGTTCGATTCCCCACATGGGTGCAATGTGTGAAGCCCATTTCTGGTGTCCCCCGCCGTGATATTGCTGGAATGTTGCTTAGAACGGCGTTAAACCATACTCACTCACCATGCATCAATCATTTTCCTTCTGGAGATTTCTGAGAAAAAGACTACCGCTAGAAACTTTTATTCTGTATCTCATACACTGCATAATATATTTTCTTTGTGCTCATTGCACTAGATAGAACAATAATTCAGCTAAATGTTACCATATTGATGTACAATGTAGTAGTGTTATTGTCATACGTTAACCGTTTTCTTCGACAATTTACATAAATGTGAAAATGAAAGGAAAATAGGACCTTCATCTATTTTCTTCACACGCGATATTCAGATCACCATCCTCGATTGTCCAGGGTATAATTGACAAGTCAACATCAACGAACTGTCAGTCTCTTATGCCGCGGTACTCCTGGGTACCTCAGACCCTCTCTTCCTCAGGCTGCAAACAGTCCTCCAGTTTTTGATTGCCATTTCAATTACCCCCATACTAATCTGTGGGAAATATTTATTGTAGGCCACTGCAAGCTCACAGTCGTCATCAAACTGGCGTACGCTGAACTCTCCATCAGTGCCCTCCAATATGAGCTTAGAATTCACCATCATCACGGCTCTTTCATCCTTGAAGGTGATTGCCCTTATGGTATCGTGGAATGGTGTCATATCAGGATCGGTGTAAACAGAGTCGAAACATTCGCCCAGCTCTTCCAACTCGGTCCTTAGATTCAGTTCGAAGTCGTAAAAACGCCTAAATCTTCCGATGTTGTATTCATGAGGAAGAGGTGTGGCTGACCGGAAGTCTCCTTCTCCGTGCATGCGCAGTATCTTTCCACCTTCTTTGATGTACTTGTATTCCAGAAAAGATTCTTTTATCAGAGGCGACTCTGTTTCAAAGTCCATGCAAATGGCTCCAAATGTTGGATGGCCAATGCTGATCTCAATCAGATACAGATCTCCAGGTTTCACGACATTCTTCACAAAGACGATCACGTGATTATCCGGAAGCATCGCGGGTGTCGACACAGTCGCGTTGTTCAGGTATGCGTCATAGCCCAAGGATTTCAACAAGTAGAAAGTGAAAACATTCTGAGTGTAGCACAATCCACCTGTTCTTGAGAAGACTGACTCTTTGATTTCGTCTATGGTTGGCCTGCGTCTCACGCTGTGGTCCTCCGCCATGAGACTTAGGTTCTGAAATAGGACGGTGTGCTGTAGACGGAACACCAGTAAATTAAGGAAATCCAGTTTATTGGCAGCCATCTTGGATGGAGCATCCGAAATATCTAGAACATCCCTGATGAACTCCAACGATTCTTCTTTCGTCAGCATTTCTGAAACAATATGAGCGAATCAGGGTTGGAAACAGGTAAGATCAGCTGATAAGTTCAAGATAACTCTCAGGGCTTTAAGACCCGTGGTGATCCGGGTTGGAATAGGTCTTCAGCAACCCATACTTGCCGTAAAAGACGACTGTGCTTGTCGTAAGAAGCGACTAACGGGATCGGGTGGTCAGGATCAGACTTGGTTGATGCATATCATCATATCTCAATTACGTAGATCGATGCTCATGATGTCAATCACTGGATTGTCTGGTCCAGACTCGATTATTTACAGACCGCCGTCATATAGCTGGAGTATTGCTGAGTGCGGCGATAAACAACAAACAAATAAACACAGTTTGACGTCAAGCCCCAGAAAGCATGACAAATTATACTTAACACACGGATTATATATGTAGTATGTTATCAAAAACTTAGGGGTATTAAATGTGTTCAAAGACCCTTCAAAGTAAGGATTAGACACAAATTTGAAAGATTTTGACATGCACTTGGTGCATTATGGACATAATTATAATTTCATTTTTCAATGACAGGTCGCAACAGTGCTTGTTTTATATCGAGGCAATCAGATTTCAGGTATTACAATGAACACATATTTCTTTAATTATTTCAGATTGAACGCCGTCATATAGTTGGAATAGTGCTGAGTGCGTTCATCGTGTCGGCCATTTTGACGTCTTTTACTTGATGTCAATGTATTACGACCTGCTGTCATTGTGACTGACTGAGGTAGTTCTTAACAAACTCCGACGTGCATACAGTTTGGCCCTCACTCTATGAAGGTTCATGTTCCATTGAACTCACACTAAAAAAAAATGAACCAAACTAGGTATATGAAAAATATATTACTAACCTGTCTGTTTAACGTGCCCAACGATGTTCTCTCTGAATACCGCACTGACTAGCTATTACGTTACACACAGGTACACGAACGTCATGGTCTAGTTAACAACTATGATACGCTATTTGGAACCCAATCCCAAGGACGTTCAACTTTGTACTTTCAAAACGTTTATAGCTAAGAATGTTACCAAACGGGTTAAGGTATTCTAATAGCTTTATCATCCCTGCACACATGTCGGCCTTAGTGAGTGAGTGAGTTGGGGTTAACGCCGCTTTTAACATTATTCAAGTTATTTCACGGCGTTCCGTTAAATGTGGGAGGAAAGCCCGAAGTGATGCAGGTATCAGGCATTTACCACTTCGGTGAAACCCACGAGCACGGTGCTGACAAACCTAGAAACATAATCGGGGAGAACCGGGATTCGAAACCACAATCATAGGTTTCTGGCGTGCCCAAGGGACGCAACTCTGCACAGCGCATCGCGGCGCCTTAGACGACTGGGCCACCCGACGGTCTTAGTACAGCTGAACTTGATTGATAACTGAGTCTTCCCTTGTCGTGCATCAGGTTTGTTTTTTAATTGCAGAAAAAGAAAAAAACTTCATTCTTCTCGTTAGTTGTTGCTTGACTACGTAAATATATTTTTGCATGACGTCACATCGCTGGACGATAAAAACTGTGTAAATGAGATGAATGTTGTTATTCCAAGTGGTCATTTGACACAAAATTCACACGTTCTTACACACATGGCGACTTATGACAGGAGAACATTTAAACTTATTGCTTTTGTGCAATTTTGGTTAGATCAACCACATTATTGTGATCGCCCATATAATTCTGATAAATGTATGATAATGTAGCTACTCCTTTTGCTGCTCGTCCAGCTTAGCGGTTCATTAAGTATATGTACAAAGAAACTAAATTATTCATAGAAGAAATATGTCCGGAACACAACGCCGCTGCATGTCCACAATATTCTTTCATGCAATGGCCTAACATATGTCTGGGTAACTGATTAGACGTGTACATTTCCCGCTGACCACGGTGTCACTATTGCTATATATCACTTCATAACTTGATGACCCGTCCGGGTTTAGCATGAAAACAATTTAGGTATGATTTAATAGATTCATTATATTTTACCCGACAGACCGTATATTGTGTTGTAATGGCTTCCAACATTTTGAATTGTATTAATGTTTTTTTAGTTTTAAGTGATCGTAGATATCCCGTGCCATTAATGGGATCGGGTGGTCAGACTCGCTAACTTGGTTGATCCGATTGCGTGGATCGTTGTCATGATGTCAATCACTGGATTGTCTTGTCCAGCCTTTATTATTTACAGACCGCCTCGTGCAGTTGGAGTGACACGTGGTCCTGTGCACAGCGCACAGATCACTATTCAGGGGAAGTTAAGCAACGTCGGTCTCGGAGAGTAGTGGGATGGGTGACCACGTTCAGCAGCTTGACTCCTGAGAGTTTCTAGGGCTTCGGTCCTGCCCCACACTGAAGCACATGTACCACCTTAGGCAAGTGACTTTGTTCGAAATGTGCCTCTTTTCACCCAGCAGTGAGTGGGTACCCGGTAGGATGAGATGGTAATGTGTCTGTTAACCATCTAGCTCCTCACAGGCAGCTTGGGGTGTATGATCCCCAGGCAGCTGAGAATGAAAATCGAGTGCTCACTGATCCATTGACCGGGGTAATAATAGTGTAGCTCTATGAGCATTCACTTGGTGAATGGAATCTGGCGCATTAAATATGCACATATTATTATTATTATTATTATTGCTGAGTGCAGCGTTTAACAACAAACAAACAAACAAACAAAGAAGTCAACCAAGTCACCTAGCCTGATCACCCGGTCCATGATTGAAGCTGCAGTGTTTAAAGAACAAACAAGACTACTCTACCATCGAGTGGCATGACGAACTGTATGCATTTTGAGGTCAATATAGAAACATAGATACAGAAACTTTGTGATCGAAGAGTAACAAGTTCTCAAAAATAGTTCAGAATATTCTTCATACCAATAAGGCATATGGAAAAGCATATCATAGTTCTCTCTCGAGAAACGAGATAAAAACTCAATCAAACTAACGTGATTATAGATCTCCATTGACGATACTATTTAAGGTGAATTTGAAACTCGTTAACGTCAGACTAAAGTAGTACTACTATTAATACTGTATCTATTTCGTTTATTAGTGTTTCGACAGACTCGTGAAGATCCGGGGTAGAATAGGCATTCAGCAACCCATGCTTGCCGTAAAAGGCGACTATGCTTGTCCTAAGAGGCGACTAACGGGATCGGGTGGTCAGGCTCGATGACTTGGTTGATGCATGTCATCGTTTCCCAATTGCGTGGATCGATGCTCATGATATCAATCACTGGATTGTCAGGTCTAGACTCGATTATTTACAGACCGCCATCATATAGCTGGTATTGCTGAATGCGGCGTTAGACAACAAACAAACTGAAACTAAAACTGTTGCGACAGGTGTTCTGCGTGGCCATGGTAACACGTGACGCTAGTAAACCGGTGCATGCATGAATGGGTACAATAAACCTTTAGTCTCAGCTTGTTATTTCCAGATACCCATAAGCTGACTAATATAATCCATCTGATAGTACATGGTTTCTGCCTACTTAATAATATATATATATATTATAATAATTACATCATTTATATTTACATAGGTGTGTCAGAACAGGGACAGGAAAAGACCAAAATAATCTTCAAACCAAATCCATTAAATGGGCACGTTTTGTCACTAAAACGTTTAGAAAAGCTAACTTCATAAGCTGTTTATGAATTGTGTTTGTGACGGGTGTTACCCGCGGGGGAGTGGGGGTGACGTCCTTTTTTCGCGAACACATGGTGTCATCACTATTTGCAAGTGTTTCAGAGACACTTTGGAAATAGTCGGGATGGTACAATGAACTGATTTTATTGGACATTTTTTTATGATTAAGGAATTTTTTGTCGCTTGTTATTATAATGAAGCATGACATTTAGCTTGGCTGCTAAAATGACTCATTCTTGTAACATAATTGATCATAACGGAATGCGAAGCCAACTAAAAAAAATTAAAAAACTGTACTCTCTATATTTTCAGGGACGGTCGGGTAGCTTAGTGGTTAAAGCGTTTTCTCGTCACGCCGAAGACCCGGGTTCGATTCCCGACATGGGTACAATGTGTGAAGCCCATTTATGGTGTCCTCTGCCGTGATATTGCTAGAATATACTCACTCACTCACTCTATATTATTTTCTATAGGTCCGGTTATAACACGTTACAAAATCATACGATGCTGGTTCGACCCCCGCTGACGACTTACGTTTCCATAAAATTTGCAACGATTCACTTGAGTGTGAAAAGGAAGTCCAGTTCCGTTAATTCCACTATGTACTACAACTGAATGGTGGGCTGAAGATAATGTAGACATGACTAACGTACACCCAACCCCCTTTCCGGGAATATAATAGAGAAAACTAATATTCAGATAAATGGTTTTGTCGATGTTATTAGCAATAGGGTTGCGTCACAGGTGTGTTTCAACATCCACACTCATACACGGAGGTGATTAGTCTCTTACCCATCTTTAATTCAAACTTGATGACATATGTCACAATATTCTTGTGTATGGAGAGAAACGAAGGAAACACAACGCTTACCTTGAATCAGAAGGTCGGTGAACAAGTTTTTGTTATGTTGACCAACAGTGGTGTTTCATTGAATGCCGACAGTCTTCGGTTGGTCAGGTAGTGACTGACCAGTGTACCGGACTTACATATAAATCGCCCTCCGCTTGGCTAATTTCATTACCGAGACATTAAACTTTGTAACAGCCGTTTGACGAGATTTAGACCGTGAATCTAGAAACATTGACCTTGAGCCCCAGGGTATTTGCAACCTCTACACAATGAATAACTGACCACTTGACCACGGGGTATCCTTTGATTGTGATCATAACTGGACACGTAATGACCCGTGCCTAACTCGCACCGAACTCGGAGTCATTGGTTTGGTTTAACAGCGTTTTGAACAGTATTCCAGTCATATCAGGGCCCACTTGCACAAAGCGATCTTAGCGCTACGACTATTGTAAGCCTATGTTAAAGTATGGGAGTTACGATCATTTTAGCGTTAAGATCGCTTTGTGCAAGTGGACCCAGGTGTGTCAACTGGGTGTTTGGGAAAATTCCGAAGTGATGCAGGTCTCAGACGTTTACTACTTTGGTGAAACACACGAGCACGGGCATGGTGCTGACAAACTTTGAAATAGTACTCAGGATATTCGAACCCTCGGTCCTAACCTCTGGCGTGCCTCAAGGCCAAGGACGCAACATAGACACCTAGACATCTTCCCTTGCCTCGGGAAGATGACACCTAGACGACTACATCTTCCCTTGCCTCGGGAAGATGTCACCTAGACGACTGGGCCCCCACGTACTTAGATAGGCAGCCTGAGAATCATCGATTGTAGGTGCCAGTAGGTTCGGTTAATAATAATGATGAAAGTAATAGAATTAAGAAACATTTTAAAGATAATGATTCATTGTCCTATCATGCATTGATGTGCCTTTACATATCTTCAGTGTATAGCAACACAAGTCGGAACTTGAAACCTCAAGATTATACACACCATCTTTCTTATAGGGGCTGGTGGAAAAGCATAATAGGTAAAGGGTTCGCTCGTCACGCCGCAGGCCCGATTCCCACATAGGTACAGTGTTAGAATATCATTTCTGTGATTATTGATGGAACATTCGTAAAAGCGTTAAACCACACCCGTGAAGATCCGGGTAAGAATAGGTCTTCAGCAACCCATGCTTGCCGTAAAAGGCGACTATGCTTGTCGTAAGAGGCAATGGGATCGGGTGGTCAGACTTGCTGACTTGGTTGATGCATGGCATCGTATCCCAATGCTCATGATATCAATCACTGGATTGTCTGGTCCAGACTCGATTATTTTCAGACCTCCGTCATATAGCTGGAATATTGCGGCGTTGGAGTGCGGCGTTAAACAACTAACACAAAAACAAACAAAACAAATTATAGTATTCCCGATTGTGTCAGACATTTGTCTGGTACTCACTACTATTTTTTAGAGTATGAGTGATTTGGGTTTAACGCCGCTTTAAACAGTATTCCAGTCATATCATGACGTGTCGGCTTAATGTGGGAAGAGATACCCAAGTGATGCAGGTCTTAGACGTTTACCACTTCGGTGAAACCCACGAGCACGGGTATAGTGATGACAAACCTAGAAACATAATCGGGGCGAACCGGGATTCGAACCAACAATCATAGGTTTCTGGCGTGCCCAAGGGACGCAACTCTGCACAGCTAATTGCGGCGCCTCAGACGGCTGGGCCACCCGTGCCCCCTCATTTTTAGATGTATAGGTACTCGAAAGTAATATCTGTATAGTTGATGAAATTATGTGTTGATTACACAATTACGATTCAACATGTAACATAATGATCAATATTGTTTATTCTCGCGCGTTGTTAATCTTAAAAGTTTGTTCGTTTGTTGTATAACGCCGCACTCATCAATATTCCAGCTGTATGGCGGAGGTCTATAAATAGACCAGACCCAGTGACACGAACCACAACGCACGCGGTCGGGCAATGATAACATGCAATCAACCAGGTCACCGAACCGGACCATGCGATCCATTTAGTCGCTTCTTACGACTAACATAGGTGGTTGGGTAACTATTGTAACCCGGAATTCCGACGGGGTTAATAAGTTTAACCACTATCAAAAGACATGCATGAGTGAGTGAGTGAGTCTATCACACCAGAATGTTCCTCTCGTCGCAAAGAAATCGCCGACGCCCTTTGCTGGTTGAAAAGCTGAAAAGAAATATACTTAACATGACCTAATATGTAGAAAATGATACGAGAAAATTGTATTTTAAATAACAATGTTTGTACTGTTTTGAAATGTGAACAGGGCAAAAACATTAACAAAAATTATATAGAAATGAAAAGTTAATTATCATGGTAAACGTTGAAGTCTATCTAATGAGCTTGATGTGGTTAACGTTTATTCAATTAAAGTTCCCATTTCCCAACACAATTGCAATGAACTTATATACACCTCGACCCTCGGATTAGTCAATTTAATTTCCTACACTTTGTAACTGCCAACTGGTTTGAATTGTTCGGCATTGACCCATGAATCTAAAGATATTAAGTCTACTCACAAACTCTACTTAAAGGAGGACCATGGTTCATGGCCGGGAGCCATCTTCCAGTCTAGATCGAGACGTTGTAATTAGTTATTTGTGTCAAACTGGGACATTGAACTAAGCTGCTGGTCAAAAGAAAGGAAACTTTGTACACATACAAACATTATAAACTTCATAAAAACGTTACTGGTCCCATATCAAATACATCACCGTCGAATAACCAGTACTCGTTTGTTTCTATTTAAGCCACCGTAAAACATGGGCGTGTACTTTCCTCTGTCCTGCAGTTTATAACATACAATTTGAGTTCACAATCGGATGACGCGGAATGGCTGTGTTGTAGAAATTGTAGAAATATGTTTGTGAGCACATAACCAATCAGTACGCTTCTTACAGTTGTTATCACCTTTTAGAATGTACATCCCCAGTAGTGTGGTATTCGCAAAACAGAAGGCCTAACAACAACAACAACAACAACAACAACACTCAATATGTTCCCAATAGGTCAATGACAAAATCGATGTTCCTGGCAAAGGAACAAATGTTGTGACGAGACATGAATAAGATGACTGCTTATTAACGTAAAATGGCACGCCTTCAAAGACACTATACTCGCACGCTGCCAAAGTCACTATACTCCCAGGCTGCCAAAGTCACGATACTCAACAACATTAACGCATTGAGCAAATTGCTCAACAGGCATTGGTATACATACAAAGGGACACAACTCCCAACGAGAGTATGAACTAAAGTTACCTGCTATCTCTCAGCATAGGCTCGGTTGTTGAGGCTATCACGATTTTATCCGTTTGTTGTTTAACGCCGCACTCAGCAATATTCCAGCTATATGACGGCGGTCTGTAATGGTATGATACGATGGTGTTGTGCAAGCGGGCCCAGGACAAAGGCGGCAAGAAAATGTCCTCAACTTGCGTTGGGATTCCCCGACATCCCACTGTGGTGAAACCAGTCCGTCTCCGTGGGCGTGGCTTATGTTTCATCTTTTGGGGAAAAAATGCAAAAGTATTTGTCCCTTACACAGTTTGACGTGACCCGAATATCCGGGGTAGAATAGGTCTTCAGCAACCCATGCTTGCTGTAAATGGCGAGTATGCTTGTCGTAAGAGGCGACTAACGGGATTGGGTGGTCAGGCTCGCTGACTTGGTTGATGCATGTCATCGTATCCCAGTCGTGTGGATCGATGATAATGATTTCAATCACTGGATTGTTGTTCACTAAAAGCGGTACTATACTCAGCAAATTGGCAGTCCCAGGAAATTTATGAAACTCTCAAACAATACTTTCTTGGTCCACTAGTTTTTAACTTTAAGGTAATTATCAAGGTACGAGTATGGTGTCTCAGTCTTACACGTGGCTTTAGTCCTTGAAACAGTTAAACAAGCTTACTCAGTAGACCATTATATTTAAGGACCGCCACCGTGGCCTAGAGGTAGAGCGTCCGCCCGGAGAGCGGAAGGTACGGGGTTCGATCTCCGGCCGCGTCATACCAAAAGACGTTAAAAGATCGTACTTGTTGTTACCCTGTCTGGCGCTCGGCATTCAGGGGCTAAAACAAGGACTGGTCGACTCTGAGTCTGAGTGGAGTATTCATGTTAAACTGCGGGATGGTATCTCAGTGAGCTAGCACTATAAATCGGCATCAATCCGGACGAGTACAAGCAGAAACACACACACACACACACACACACACACACACACACACACACACGTACATGCACGTCGCTATATAAGTGCAAATTTCTTGGAGGAATTTCACATCGACTTTTATTAAAGAAATAATGGGGTACAAATAATCAATATTATAATCAGTGTTCAGTGCTGCCTTCATTCTGTTGTTAGTTCAGCGGTGGGGTAGCTGTGGTTAAAGCGTTCGCTCGTCACACTGAAGACCCGAGTTCGATTTTCCACAAGCTGCAATGTGTGAAGCTCATTTCTGGTGTCCCCCGCCGTGATATTGCTGGAATGTTGCTATTGACTACTAAGTTTTTAATGGTCATTACATATTCTTAAGACAAATTAGGAGAATGAGAGAATTGTGTTTCATGTTGCCGTGAACAGTATTTCAGTTATTTGACGGCGTGAAGATCCGTGGTAGAATAGGCCTTCAGCAACCCATGCTTACCGTAAAAGGCGACTATGCTTGTCGTAAGAGGCGACTAACGGGATCGGGTGGTTAGGTTCGCTGACTTGGTTGATGTTTGTCATTGTATCCCAATTGCGTAGATCGATGCTCATGATGTCAATCACTGGATTGTCTGGTCCGTGAAGGGGGAAATCCCCAAGTGATGTGGGACTTCGACCTTCACGACAAAACTGGTATTACATCAGCAATCACAGGAATCAGGCGCACCTAACAAGGTACGCAAATCGAATTTGCAGCGCCTTAACCGACTAGAACATTCTTCCCCCGAACTCGCAGAACGCATTGCCTGAGTGTTTGCGTTTCAATCCCCGTCTGTAATCTACCAGACAAACCAACTCAAATTATAAACATCAAGCAAGCCACCGAGCCTGACTTTTACAACCAGCATAGGTCCTGGCGGCCTATTCACTGGATTGTCTGGTCCAGACACCATCATGTACAGGTAGTCGGGGCACGGGGTTAAACAACAAACAAACAAAACTGCGTTAAATCTTATCATCAGCTATTTGAAGGAAATTGGTCTGTATAATTGATATCTAATATGTATGTGAATAATTAAATGCTTGGGTTTTTTTTAATTTGGTGTGATGCTATTATCAACTGGTTTAAATGAAGGCTCTGTCCAGGAGGTTAACGTAACGTAAAAATATTGTTCCCCTGTGTGACACGTAATCCTATCATAATCGATGTTACTATCATCAAGCCACTGCTGAGTATTTTTTTTAATATTGGCTAGCATTGTTCACAACCACCAGTGGCTAAAGTGATGACGTAAATCCTGCTGGGGTATCATGCAGGAAGCAGAGGTACTGTAAGTCCCCATGATCCCCACTACGGTGGCCTAGCTTCGGTTTCTGGTGGCCTATAGCCCGTATTTTAAAACTGTATTATATTGTTATGCTCAAATATGTTTCATGAATTGTTTTTAAATATAATATGCTCAAATAAGATTCATAAATTGTTTTTAATATAACTTTGCATAAAAAAACTAAATTGTAGAAATCTTAACTTGGTCTCGTCGCTATATGCCTGGAATAATGCCGATGCGACGTTAAATTTTAACTCACTCACTCACACGAAGTTAAATCAAAACACAACATAAAACAAAAGGTGCTTTTCCACTTTTCATCTGTTTATTTTTCCAATAAAATTAGAAAATAGTCCATGAAAATGTGTTATACAGAGCAAACCTGCCGTACACTACTTTCAAACAAACATCCCCACGATCACGACAGCCACGCGAAATCTTCGCTTTTGTCAAAACCAAATGTCCCCGGATCGCGACCGAGCTGACGTTTGTATTTAACAGTATTGCACTTACAAACGTTCCAACGATCGCGTCAAATTCGCGCCGCGGCCGCGATCAAGGGGACGTTGGCTTTTAACAGCACTGCTCACGATCGCGTCAAATTCGCGCTGCGGCCGCGACCGAGGGGAGGTTTATTTGAACAAAAGTGTATATGAGCTGTCAAACAAAACCTACCGCCATCTAGCACTTCTATCTATAGTCGTTTGTAATATGCGAAGGCGTAACATAGTTAACACAGCGAAGTAAAACATGAATAGTATGATTCATAGTTGATAATTCTGTCAATAACGAATTCGACCAATGAAGTTTTACTCTATTATCACAATATTTACTATAACACATCCTCCTGAAAACAACTCATAGAACCTAAATAGTAAATGCTAAACGAGTCTATCAACAAGTTTTGCTGCAAACGTATGGATATATGTTAAATAGAAAGATGGACACTACGACGAGGCACGCCCAGGGGCAAGTATGTTCTATATTCCAGTTATGAACTACCAAAGTGATCACGGTGATATCCGAGTTTAGATGAAACTGAGAAAATATTATTTAAATATTAACAACATTCAATAATTGAAATTATAGAGCTTCGAATGTTAATGACGCTAAAGCAGGAAGAGCCTTCATAACTATAGCTGAAACATTGCTGAGTGCGGTGTTAAACAACAAACAAACAAAGCAGGAGAAATGATCAAAACTGAAGTGTCATAAAATGTTTCCCGAAACGTTCGTTATTAATTTAGGTCCAGCCATTTTGTTTGATAGGGGAATTTTTTTTATAGAAAACAGTTTAATTTGAATCATGAAAATAAAATTTGATGACAAGTGATACTTGTACAAATATTTGCACCCCCTGTCAAAAAAAGTTAACTACGGCCTTGATGCTGGAATTGGTGACAGCAAATCATCGCAAACTGATCTGGAATATGCGTGTTAGATGCATCAATTGTTCTCTGAGAACAGCCAACAAATGTATTGTTATATATTGTTGCGTCAACAAAATATCTAACAACGTGTTGTAAATGGATAACAAAGTATTGAACATATGACAATATCCAACAATAGCGGTTTACTGACAGTTTATTCTTTTACATGTTCTCAAACTAGTTTTACCTCAAATCTGTGATAGTCTAGTTATTGTACTGTCCTTCGGATACAGGTTTTATGCATTCTAAACATATTTGTTGTCAATTCAATTTTTAACTTTATCTCGTCACGGTATGGCTGAAATATTGCCGATGTGACGATAAATCTTAACTCACTCACTCACTCACGTTACTATATTGTGCAGTTCTAACAAGTAGCCAATGATCCAAAGAACACGTGCACCGTAATCGTTGGTATTATTGAGTAGATTGGCATTACGATCTCTGAAACAAGAGCAAACTAAATCCTTATTGACATGAATTCAATGAATCATAGTTCAAATTATACACCTGGGAAAAAGCTAAGCATCACACTTTCTTTAGTTCCATGTATCAACTTTTGCATCATCTATATACTGAGCCGCAAAAGAAAGTATACCGATTTGATTTTTTATGTAATTGAAAATTGAAAGAAATGTTGATAAATTTGATAACCAATTCCTGTCTGCAACAGTCTGTAAAAAGTAATCTGTGGCTGGGTAGTTTTGAGTAAAAATAAATGGGTTCAATGAAGACAGGGGTAAGTAATGAATTTGACCCCTACCATGTTTAAATTGTAAATTTTGTGTCGAAAAAGCAAATGTATTGATTTTCAAAGAAAAGATGTCTAAGATATCCGTCAGCAGTTACGTATTAAAAACACTTTATAAAAGTTTTGAATCAATTATTTACAAAATATAAAACCATGTAGAACTATTTCTTCTGTACTGACTAAGCACCAGTAAAGTTTATTTTTTAAAGATAATATCGCGAACTTAAGATATTTTCAATTGAAAATCAAACATATGATAAAATCAACTGAATTGCATACGTGGTGTTTCCTTTGCTCCTCAGTTTACACAAGACATTGTCCTCACTTATAAAGTGTCTGAGTTATAACCGAAACCTGGGGGAACAAAGACAAAGAAGCAATGTATGGTTTTCTCGATGGACCAAGCTCTGGTTCACATCATGATGCAAAGAAGAAGTGGCAGCAACTGAAAGGTGTGGTCAAATACCAGTTGTCATGGAACCTTCATAAAATATTTCATAAATGACTATTTTACATGGAAATATATAGTAAGAGGTGCTTAATTTGTTTCTCTGTGTATATCGCCACCTGCTTACACACGGAAAGAATACTTGGAAAGCATGGGAATGAGGCCGTCCATGTTACGAGCGCATGTTTAATGCATAAACGATCGACTAGAATTACAAGTATGAACCACATTTAAGGCTTGTCGCTGTTGTGCACAGATTAATTTGGACCTTGAACTGTATTTAAGTCACATTCAAGTTGTCAGCTTAATTATCTCAATGTGACAAACATACTTCGTGATGACCACAAGCATTGGTGTGGTGCTGTCATAATGGGTGATTCTGGGATTTGAACCCACAAGCAGTCTGATGCGGCAAACTAAGGGAAGCAACTCTGCACATTGAATGACGGGACTATTTTCATTAAAAAGTTAAATATTATCACGTCATTTATGGTATATATAATTTAGTATGCAGTTTTAAGACAATACAGTTGCATATATGATATTGACCCATACCAAACTTCGTCGTACCAGCGCCTCAAGATCGCTATACAGTGTATATGCAGATGTAACATATTCGATATGAAAAATTATCACAAGACACGATTGACAAATGTTACATGTCAAACTATATAGTTAAATAAGAACATTGATCACTCACTTCTACGAACACTACGCTAGCTACTTATTATCGAATACAGTTACTGGTAATCATGTAATGTATTGCATGATAATACGCTGTAACCTGTACATGGAATTGTTTCTAACCAAAACCCAGTCCATCACAATAAAATATTATCTGTTTAAGAAATATTCAATTATATACGTATTTCTCAATATATACTTTTGAGCAAACATACCAACATCCTTGGCATAAATAGCTTCAGCGCTCCACTTGTGGGGTCCCATTTGTAATGCAATACATTCTGTGAAGCAAAAGTGTATGATATGCACGTGGAGCACGTAACAATATTGCTAAGTACGGAAACTCATTAGGCTCATATTTTTTTTTAAATGTAAAATACTATGTTGAAAATAGTATTTTTAAATTTCAACATAATTTCAAATTAATTTTATTTTTGTCAAAAATTCAAATTAGCATTTTGAATTTTCAAGATATAAAATATAGCCCTAATGCTCATCCGTAGCTCCCTGTCCCCTCCCCGCCCACAAGGGCTGGTTTGCTTTCGCCCATTGTACTGAATGTGGAGGTTTCACTTTAGCTAGGCCACAACGAACTGATTTTTCGTTTGTCGATGTAGCATGTTTTGTCAGAAGTGAGGACTTGTGTCAATTGGCAAGAAATGCTTATGAAACTAACATCGGCAATTCAAAAGCTGATGTATGTATCTTATATCTATTCTTCCAAACAAGAACTAATAATGCAATAACCATGAAGAGACAATAGATGTTATGTTGGCCTTTTCATTTAGTCTGAATGTGGTAATGTGGGCCTTGCCACACACTCGCCACTCGCATATTGCTACAAGTAGTTGGCTGTGCAATGAAAAACTCATAGGTTAATTGTGGCCTTAGGTTATATAATAGGTAATTAATATAGGTCGAATTAATTTTAGATCGATGTGGCTACAATCCCAAATTTATTCCACATTTGACTTAATGAAAACAATGCTATGAAGTATATGGTATGTGTATGTGGCCCTTGGTAAATGAGAATAACCTGAACCGCGGGACAAAAGAAAGTATACACTTGAGAATTGGATTTAACCTCAAAATTACAAACGTTCTCAAAACATTGTTTGGCTGAAAACAGTCGCGAAACACTGCAAACTGTGGGTCCAGAACGGAACTATGATACCCGTATCAAATAAATCACCATCAAATTATTTTTAGCCACCACCAAACATGGGTGTACAGTTTCTTTTACCCGACAGTTTATTTGCGCATAGTTGATTAAAGCGCGTTTCTAAGGTTTCAAAACCTCGCACAAATTCATGATTTGCAAAATAACGAACAGCATCGATGGTAACATGCTCTATTATCCAGTGTATTACGTTTTAAAAAATTGTACCAATTCGCCACTATAGCCTCGTTTTGATTCGAAAGGCACGACTCTAAAAATAGCCGTCCAATCAAATTACTCTCGTCAGCGCCGTTAGAAAGTCCGTTTCGTTAGAAGTTAGAGAAAGCAACGATGTTAAACAAATCTATGGTAGCGAATGGATCCAGGGTATTGATCAAACTGGAAGTGAAATATAATACTGTGGATAATAGAAGATGTCCTTATATCGGGATGGATTACATTAAAAAACGAAATGTCGGAATGGTGAGCCATTCCAAATATAACGAAACCGGAATCAAATGTAACCACTTTAAGATCGTATTGGTTTAAGTTGAGAAACACGATCGTTTATGTGACCTTAAAACTCTCTTGCCTTCGAATTCGTTATAACCATTGACGCAACCAGTGAGAGGAAAAGAAGACAAAATACTTCGTTTGCATAATAGCATCAGATTCTCCAACAGGCAAATGAAATGTATCCGTTTCAAAATGCTAAAAATAGTTCAATTGTAGGGGAGATAATCATATGTACAAACAGTTTACGCTTCATCCAAAAAGGTCACAACCGGAAGTAGTAAGGCAAGGCGAAGATATGACCTTCACATACGGCGCTTGTCCTTCTCTTCGGATGGTCGCCACAGCCGATGGAAGATGGGATGTCTTGATTTTATACACTTCGGCTTATCATCCGGGCTCCACTTCCCGTTAACACACGCTGCACCTCTCGGTCCTTGGAGTTTGTAGCCTCGGTGACATTCGTACTCTAGGCGGTCGCCATGTTTTATTGTGATGATGTAACTTTTGAAGAGAAACTTGCCCGTGTGGCCTTTTTTGAAGACTTTACCATTTATAATCTCCCCTGGGTTTGGGCAATAGTCTGCAACCAGCAAAGAAACATACTTTAAGAAAACTAAATGTTATAATGAAATACGATTGATAAATATTGTTATGTTTAATATTCCTCATTCTCATTTTTTTAAATACACAGAAAACCTTTATGTGTTGCGGTTTCTAAAGAAATGATCGGGATTGAGAATCATTGCTACACGTTTGCCTAGTATTCAAAGGGGAAGAAATTCGCCGTCCAGCTAAACACGCCATTCTTATCCATTGACGCACGCCATTGATCATGACGTCACTGTTTTGTGTGTAGACCGTTTTGCCCCCCAAAATGTTCACTAATGAGACGAAGCTACCTTCCTTACGGGCCTTCCGTGTCAAGATATAGAACATGTCAAGATATAGAACATGTCAAGATATGTCAAGATATATTTCTAAACGTATTCCAATGCCGGTTAAACAATACCTACTTTCTTCACAATAGGGCATTGGACCAAACCACTCTCCGTATTTACAGGTGAGATACTGGTTGTCGCCAGTGAGTCGGAAGCCTTCCATACAGAAGTAACGAGCTTTGTTGTTATGACTCAGTCCGAAGAACACCCGGTGTCCATTCTGTATATGCGGCGGGGGCTTTACACACGGTGCTGCAATTTGAAAGGATATCATTCAATTGCAGTTTTCCTCGAACAAAATCAGTTGATGATTGGTTTCAAGATACAGACAAAAGAAGTGGTGTTTCTTATGATTTTCTATTGACTGAATCAACGTAGTTTCTATTAAGAGAGGACATCGGGAATGCGACCACAAACTTGACTTAACATTATGAATAATCTCATTAAAATCAGATCTTAGTTCTCGCTACCGCTAAACAAAGATCTGAGGACATCCCATTACGGGTCACGTCAGACCGACCTTGCGCGAACATCAGAAGGCAGCTTTCTCGTGCTTTACGGAACTAATTTCAAATTGGCGTCTACGCTTCGCAACATATTTTGACAAATTCTCGATTACAAGTTTGAGACCTAAACAAAAGAACATTCTGGAATGGCTAATCGATGGTCTAGATTGTATGGATTCAGTCGTTAAACCCGTAACTATCGTTCGGAATACCCCGTGTGAAAGTTTTCGAGGTTGTATGATTAGAAATCACATTCCGACTGTCACTTTCATTATTATAAGCGACGCTCTGATTGGTCGGATGAAAGGTCGTTCTGACGTGACCCCTGATGGGATGTCTTCAGATCTTTGTTTAGAACTAGGGTCTGATTTTAATGTGATTACATTATGAAATGCTGTCTCTTAATGGAAACGTATAAAGAACCATATAAAAAAAACTACTCTGTCTATCTTATCAACTCTCGTCAATTGATCAATCACTATTAAAACGGCCACCATGTAAACATAAGGGTAAACGTCTTCATATAATATTGAGTCTCCTGACCTAGACTCGATTATTTACAGGTCTCCGTGAGATAGCGCAATCCGTCTGCGGCGTAAGACAACATTCACTCAGTGCATCCTCTACTCACATGGCACGCACTGTGGCACCACAGTCCACGTTCCGTTGTTGCAGTTGACGGGCCGGGTGTCGTTGAGGACGAGGCCATAGTTGCAGGTGTAGTTCACTATAGTGCCGTCGTCCACCCACGCCCCTTCATGTCCCAATTGCAGAGTACCATTCTTGATGGAGCTGACTCGGCACTGTCCTATGTAGAGAAAATGTAGAACGTCAACGCCAGAGACCAATCAGTGCATTAACCAAGTCATATGCAAGCACCCGCCCACTCAAATGCTCAATTCCCATGAAGATCCGGGGTAGAATAGGTCTTCAGCGACCCATGCTTGCCATAAAAGGTGACCATGCTTGTCGTAAGAGGCGACTAACGGGATCGGGTGGTCAGGCTCGCTGACTTGTATGTTGATGTATGTCATCGATCCCAGTAGCGTGGATCGATGCTCATGATATTAATCACTGGATTGTCTGGCCCAGACTCGATTATTTACAGACCGCCGCTATATAGCTGGAATATTGCGGAGTGCGGGGTTAAACAACAAACCAACCAACTAACCAACCAATTTCGTAGATCGATGCTTATGATGTCAATCACTGGATTGTCTGGCCCAGACTCGATTATTTACAGACCGCCGTCATATAGCTAGAATATTGCAGAGTGCGGTCATAAACAACAAACAAACAAACATGCTCAACCACTCACTCACTCGATAACCGTTTCACTGACCTAGACATTTCGGTGGCGGATGGGACCACTGGCCATTTTCCAGACACTGTGTTGAGAAGGACACTCCATCAAACTTGGTCCGGGTATTACATCTGCAGATAAAATCATGATATCACAATCGGCCCTGTTGGCATGAACAAACTGCAGATATTCACCCGGAAGGGATGCTACAAGGGTGCGCAATCCACAACACACACACTTTTTTCTTTGCTTTGGTTTGGTTTTGAAACATATTAATTCATTTGGAAGTTTTATAAATGAGCGTGTATACTACTGTGTTGATTTATTTACAGTATAATACATTTGGAAGTTTTATAAATGAGCATGTATACTACGGTGTTGATTTATTTACAGTATAATACATTTGGAAGTTTTATAAATGAGCGTGTTTACTACGGTGTTGATTTATTTACAGTATAATACATTTGGAAGTTTTATAAATGAGCGTGTTTACTACGGTGTTGATTTATTTACAGTATAATACATTTGGAAGTTTTATAAATGAGCGTGTTTACTACGGTGTTGATTTATTTACAGTATAATACATTTGGAAGTTTTATAAATGAGCTTGTATACTACGGTGTTGATTTATTTACAGTATAATACATTTGGAAGTTTTATAAATGAGCGTGTATACTACGGTGTTGATTTATTTACAGTATAATACATTTGGAAGTTTTATAAATGAGCGTGTTTACTACGGTGTTGATTTATTTACAGTATAATACATTTGGAAGTTTTATAAATGAGCGTGTTTACTACGGTGTTGATTTTTTTACAGTATAATACATTTGGAAGTTTTATAAATGAGCGTGTATACTACGGTGTTGATTTATTTACAGTATAATACATTTTTGGAAGTTTTATAAATGAGCGTGTATACTACGGTGTTGATTTATTTACAGTATAATACATTTGGAAGTTTTATAAATGAGCGTGTATACTACGGTGTTGATTTATTTATAGTATAATACATTTGGAAGTTTTATAAATGAGCGTGTTTACTACGGTGTTGATTTATTTACAGTATAATACATTTGGAAGTTTTATAAATGAGCGTGTTTACTACGGTGTTGATTTATTTACAGTATAATACATTTGGAAGTTTTATAAATGAGCGTGTATACTACGGTGTTGATTTATTTACAGTATAATACATTTGGAAGCTTTATAAATGAGCGTGTATACTACGGTGTTGATTTATTTACAGTATAATACATTTGGAAGTTTTATAAATGAGCGTGAAAACTACAGTGTTAATACATTTACAGTATAATACATTTTGACGTTTTATAAATGAGCGTGTTTACTACGGTGTTGATTTATTTACAGTATAATACATTTGGAAGTTTTATAAATGAGCGTGTATACTACGGTGTTGATTTATTTACAGTATAATACATTTGGAAGTTTTATAAATGAGCGTGAAAACTACAGTGTTAATACATTTACAGTATAATACATTTTGACGTTTTATAAATGATTGTGTATACTACAGTACTGGTGTTAACGTATTTATGTATTATATGTGTTTTCAAAAGAATTAACACGACAGCCAAACGCAAGTGGCCGCGAGCATTTCTTTCGCGGAAAAAAATCATTTGTTCCCGAAAAATGCGGAAAACGATAATTTTGTTCGGCCTCTCCTTTTCACAGTTAAATATGTATTGTGGCCAAAAAATACACGTCTCTAAAAATTAACGGTCTCAAATAGGAAGGTCTGCAGTTGTCTGTAAACTTCCGCTATTAGTGTGACATCCACTGTATTGGCGTTTACCTGTAGAAGTACACTGCTCCGACGGTGGTTCTGTGGCCGTCAAGGTAGCCGTTCCACAGAGGACCCGGCATCCCACAGTTAATTTCTGTAAAGGTAACAAATGAACAATTTTAATTAAATTATCGCAAAATGTATGAATTAAACAAACTGACATTCCAGTTGATTGCTGTGCGCACCTTCACACGTGGCCTCCTGGCCGCTCCACTCCCTGTCCGACTGACAGCGTCGGTCATTGGATCCGACGACCTTGAACCCGTCGTTGCAAACGAATCTGATGACGGAGCCGTACTCTGTCCCCGAGCCTATCATGGTGCCATGAAGAGGCGGGCCCAGTTCGTTACAGTTGATAGCTGGAAGAAGAAAATACACTATATGGTTGTTTCGAAGTCAAAAGGACCTGAGAAAAACATCGACATCTTAGAGTGTTCGACGCTTCCGAAAACAGTGCAGTTGAATACAGCAAAGACCTATTAATGCAATCAAGCAATAACCTGTTGAGTTATTAATCACAGCATACAATGCTCCCATTCTTCGACTAATTAGGCATTTGTTATTCGGGACTACAAAATAACTTCGAGTCAACCAAACTTTCGACACTTCCTAACTGATTAAACAGTAGTTAAATAAAACATTAATAAACATTTAAGAATTCGCCGGCACCGGACAACCATTCCACACAACCGAGAACTCGACACATCAGAGCTCGACTAAACGGGTTTCAGTAATATATATACACATCATACCTCTGTTGTTAAGAATAGTGAATTATCCCGACTTACTGTCATCGGTCATAAGGCCAACGACGTTCTCAGTTAAAGGGAGACAATTCTCGGAACTGGAAAGCATTTATCAAGGAATATATCTGCTCCACCTGAGTAAACAACGATGTCTTACTGATGTGTTAGGTTTGGTGATCTGGCTGTCATCATGTGGATCGTTGTTCATGCTTCTAGTGAATTGTGTGTCTGACTTGATGTAGCTGGTGAGTGCGGCGTTAAATAACATTCACTACCCACTTGACAAAGACCTTTCAGTTATTTATGGACCCCGTTATAGGATCATCCTGGATCAGATATTGCCGTATCAGGATACTGTTTTTGTCGCTTGTTATTATTATGAAGCATAACATTTAGCTTGATTGTCCCTATCCTGGCAGCTGGGGAGTACCAGTCTTAAAAAAAGCTGATTTAAGAAAAAAAAATATCTAGACACGACACGTACGGAATATTGTGTAAGAATTTTATACGTCAAAGTATGTACCCTTAAGTGCAAATTTTCCCGTTTTCAGTTCGAATAAATGGCAGGTCAATTACGCGTTCAATCTGCGGTACATTTGCTTTGAGACTGTCCAGTCATACTTACGATTGCATGTTGGTAATGATCCTGACCAATCACCGTTTGCCTGACATTCTCGGAAGCCTTTCCCCATCAGTTCATATCCCTCGTTACAATGGTAGGTGACCCGGCTGGGGAATGTGAAGCGGTAACCAGGGTTACGCCAGCCATTGACGAGTTCTCCTGGCGTACCACAGTCCCGGGCTGAAATTGTTTCAAAATTAAATGAACGAGGACCTAAAGTTTAACTCGTTTCAAACAGCAGTTCAGATACATTAATTTAAATCAGAGGTAACCCAACATGGTGAAGGTCTTAAAACCCACGAGTTAGGGATTCCAACTACGAACGTCGGATCGTGACTCACCTAATGGACGCAACTCTGCACAACGAATTTCTGCGCATTTGAAACGACTGAGCCCTGAACATTACAATATGTTGACATTAAAATTGAAACAAAAATGTCTATACTTTACAATATTCAAGGGGGGGGGGGGGGGGGGGGCGCGTGTATAAACCTGATTTAACCTAACCTTACGGAAATATTAATGTCAAGGTCATCTTCTCAAGGGGACGGTCGGGTAGCCTAGTGGTTAAAGCGTTCGCTCGTCACGCCGAAGACCCGGGTTCGATTCCCGACATGGGTACAATGTGTGAAGCCCATTTCTGGTGTCCCCCGCCGTGATATTGCTGGAATATTGCTAAAAGCGGCGTAAAACCATACACACTCACTCACTCATCTTCTCAAGCGTATCCGCTAGTCCACAAAGTCTAGTTTTCTTGATGCCTCAGGAAGATGTAGCAGGTTAGGCGATGAAAACACCTAAAATAGTGATTTTACGGCACTTCCTTCAATATGCTGCTTGACTACACATACATAAAGCCTACCAATTTAAGTGAAATACTGAATGCACTACTCTACACTTATAAAACATTAAACATAACGAGCATTGGTACATCTAGATTTCAACTAAAAATTAGTCTGGTTGGTTCAAACTATTTACAGGCCGCCCTGATACAGATGGAATGGTCCTCCCTCAAGCAACATTCGTTGACTCTTAGACATTCGTGACTGCAATTTCGCCCTGTCGCGCAGTAAGGTAGGGCAAAAATGCAATGGCCGCTCTAGGCCATCGTGTGACTGACCTTTGCAGGACATCTTTGGCCCAATCCACTGGCCCTCGGCCCCGCTGCACACGGCCCTTGGGATCCCCTCCCTGTAGTAGCCGAACTCGCACGTGTAGGTGAGCTGTGTTCCCGCTGGGAACTGCATCTGGTCTGTGGGGGCGTCATGTGTCGCGTGGTCCACGTTAGGAGGGAGGCCACACACCACTGGAAGTAAACATCAACATGGTACCGTGTATGTTTTATTCTACAATGAAGATGAGAGTGCCTCTGGTCAAATCGCAATAAGTTTTCCATCCAACAAAATCAACCTACAGGAATTTACAGTTCAAGTTAATACATAAGCGCGCTAACTGTCATTAAGACATGTGTTTGTTTGTCGTCTAACGCACTCAGCAATATCTCCAGCTGTATGACGGCGGTCTGTAAATAATCGAGTCTGGAACATACAATTCAGAGATTGACAACATGAGCATCGATCCACGCAAATGGGATACGTTGACATGCATCTACCAATTCAGCGAGTCTGACCACCCGACCCCGTTAGTCGCCTCTTACGACAAGCTTAGTCGCCTTTTACGGCAGGCATGGGTTGCTGAAGAATATTTGACGGCATCTTCCTCGTGTATATAAAAACATTTAGAGTGAAAAATCAGTTAACTGGACAGAGACGAAAACTCTACCACTAGCTTTATAAAACACTGCTAAGTTTGATACACTGAATACGTTTGTTGTAAAACTCTAGAAAAAAATATATTTCTAATATTTTCTAGAGCAACTTATAAAAAAAGATGAGGCCATCCCACTCCCCAGAAAATCCAAAGGTCGGTGCCTTACCCTCTTCACAGGTTGGGTCCTTGCCGTCCCATTGCCCGTCAGGGAGACACACCCTCTCCTCCCTGCCTGCGAGGTGGTAGCCCTGGTCACAGTAGTATCGTGCCCGGCCGTCGATGGTGTTAGACAGGATCTGGACAGACCCATGCTCTATCTCGGGGAGGAGGGGGCAGCCGGCGTCTTCAACAAAAATAATAACAAGGACACCCTGTGAATTCTAAACAGCGTGAAAAGGCTGTTAGTTTTTGAGGGGTTAGTATCATTTGCCGGGTCACATGAAATGGACCTGTTGCCAGAATCGCCAAACAGTAAATAGAAGAGAGGCACCCTGTTGGTCCAGACGTAGCGGTGTCCTTAAACAATCGTCTGGATCAACAGGGTTCTGAACAAATTATAAATTCAAATTCAAATCTCAAATATAATTGTCCAAAAAGCTAACGCCATTGCTTATTTTTTTAAAACACTATCGAAACGAGTCTACATAAATCCCATCCATACAATTCAAGTACAACGTTGCCGTTCCTTTTCCTGATGGAGGTGATGACTTGGTAAACAAGAGAGTGCGTTCTCTTGGTGGAAGCCAAAACATCGTCAGCCTTTATAACCTGGATGTTTTAAGTTGATCTTAACAATACATATATGTATGTATCCATATATCCATGTACTTATCATCAATCTTCTATCTATATATTCATCAACCCAGCTATATATTCTACCTATATGTATATCGATCAGTCTATCTTCTATCCAATCATATGTTTATCATCTATCATCTATTTATCTTGTTATCTATATATCAATTATCCAATAAAAAAGTTTGATCGTCTATCCATCCATACATTTATACTATAAGGGAGGCGTGGAAAAAATATGAAATAATTTCTACATATGTAGTTACATGCATTGTAAAGACACGAGTAAAACATTACATTTTATCCAAGGGTGTTAATGGGGTCGTTGAACTCCGCAACTGACTTACGAGCACAGGTCATGTTGGGCCCGACCCACACGCCTCCTCCCACGCACCACGCCCTGTCCACCCGCTCCTTCCGGGCCGTGAAGCCGTCCTCGCACTCATACTGCAGCATGCTCCCCAGGGGGTACGTCATCCGCCCCGACACGCTGGGCCTGTGCTTGGCGTTGTGGACCCGGGGTGGAAGGCCGCACTCGTTTTTCTCTGAACAGGCACAAAATCTATATTTTATGACTGTTATTATATGACAACACGTTTGTGGATTCCGGGGCTTCAGTTTTATGACGGCCGTCTTTTAATAATCGGGTCTTGACCAGACAATCCAGTGATTGACATCATGAGCATCGATCCACGCAATTGGGATACGATGACACGCATCAACCATGTCAGCGAGCCTGACCGCCCGATCCCGTTAGTCGGTCCTCAGTACCTCATTCTGTGCGTATTAGCTGACATAAGAGAGGATCGAGTAACCATGTATGACCAATACAAAGCGATCATAGCGCTACTACCAATACAAATGTTAAAGCATAGTCGTTACAAAAGTGCGCGTCTCACCGTTACCCGACGAAGCTGATGGTAGCTAATGCTTTCAATCGCTGGTTTGTGCTCGATTACCTATAGATTGCTGTGTTATAAACTGCCGAGCAAAAGAAGGTATACACCCATGTTTGATTGTGGCCAAAAATGAAAAATATTGTTTTTCGATGGTGATGTATTTGATACGGGTATCACATTTATGTTTTGGACCTTAATTATATATATATATATAAGTTTGTAGTGTTTCGGTGACTGTTTTCAGCCTAGCAACCTTTCAATGACCTTTTTAAGTCTTAGTTCCAAATCTACTTTCGTTTGCTTGAATATCGCTAAATGAGTCGTACAACGACATCCTTTCCATCACCAAATAGATATAACAAACCTACTTGAATAAATAATTGTTACTTATGTCAAAAAGGTATGTACTACTTGGTTCTGAATGGTCTTACTCATTCGACATTCCTATTGATGCAAAATCGTCACAGAGACACGTGGCTTTTGTTTAATGCAAAATGCAAATCCCCCTGGACTCCTTGTATAACCGCTAGGAACAAACACATATTTCTTTGGTCCAGTGGTGAATAACGACACACAATTTATGTTTGGTGGACTCGTCATTGGGTCTTGGTTGTCCTTTCAGCAATGGCGAATAGTTCGAGAATAACTCGCGAGCGACACGCGAATTGTTTACTCTTACGGACTCAATCTATCTTTTGGTTTATCTGGGATCAATTTGTGACCGAACATCTCACGATGTGACCTGTGAAATGCTCTTCCCTCGTCTATCCGCTAGAACCAAACAATATATGTGTCAAGTAATAGCTCGCGGAGCACTCGCGGAGCACTCGCGAGGTACTCGCGAATAGCTGATGCTGCAGTTTGCAACTTACCGTCTATCACCTTGGTGGGTCCACAGCGTGGTTCCTCTTTACTCCAGGTCTCGTCCCCCTGGCAGACACGCCCCGGAACTCCGAACAGCGTGTACCCATCGTCACAAATATACTTGGCAACAGCGCCGAACTGGTTGAAAGGAATGATTTCTACACGTCCATGAGGAATATCGCGAAGATCCTCACAGCGCAGATCTACACGAACAGAGAGAATAACCAGCATGTAGTGCAAACAATGCATAAGCTACGATATTGTTTAAAACAAAATTAAACACAATAAATGTTTCAAAATTGCCGCGATTAGATCAGAGCATACCAACCACATTTGTTTGTTTATTTTTGTGTTTGTTTGATTAACGCCACACTCAGAAATATCTCCAGCTATATGACGGCGGTCTGTAAAAGATCTATCCTGGACCAGATATTCCAGTGATTGATATCATGAGCATCGATCCCCGCAATTGGAATACGATGACATGCATCAACCAAGTCAACGAGCCTGACCACCAGATCCCGTTATTCGCCTCTTACGACAAGCATAGTCGCCTCTTATGACAAGCATAGTCGCCTCTTATGACAAGCATGGGTTACTGAAGACCAATTCTATGCCCGATCTTCACGAGGACGTAACAACCATGATCTACCTAAACATTATAATGACTTACACTACATGCACAGTGGAACCCCGGTATTCCGGACCCCGTTAATCCAGAAGAGCAGAATAACGATAACTGTTATGTTTCCACGCTATGGCCTACCAGCATTTCGGTCAACTTGTTTTCCACAATATGGTCTGCCAGCATAACAGTAGCAGCATTTTGAATTTGATACGACGTCGGCATGTGAAAAACGTGCGGGTACTTACTTGGATTAACACACGTCTTGCCACACGCGCCATCACACATACACTTCTTCTTGGGACTGAGGCAAGGTTTGGTCATGGAACATTCCTTTCTGCATGCTCTGTTGGTCAAGTCACGCCGCGGGCAGGACTCTCCGACTGCAAGTTGAATATAATATTCATCATCAACATGTAAACATCATCAGCAAGAAATCATCAAAACAATCAACAACAACGGTGATCATTAACATCAGCAGCAGCAACGACAAGAATAACATCATCAGTGTTATCAACACCATCAAGAACAATATGATAAACATCACAAAACGATGCTTACACCATCATCAGCAGCAGCATCAGTGTTATCAGTAGCAGCAGCAAAAACAACAAATCATTTGATGATGGCCTCAATCATCATCGTCATAGTCTTCAATCGTTATTATCATAAACAACAAATCATCATCAGTGTTATAATCATCACTATCAGTGTTATCATCATCATCATCTTCATGTGTTATGGTCATCATCATCAGTGTTATCATCATCATCTCCAGTGTTATCATTATCACCATCAGTGTGTTATCATCTTCATGTGTTATCGCCATCATCAATGTTATCATCATCAGTGTTATCATCATCATCAGTGTTATCATCATCATCGTCATGTGTTATGGTCATCATAACCAGTGTTATCATCATCAGTGTTATCGTCATCAGCATCAGTGTTATCATCATCATCTCCAGTGTTATCATTATCACCATCAGTGTGTTATCATCTTCATGTGTTATCATCACCAATGTTATCATCATCATCATCATCATCAGTGTTATCATCGCTATCTCATCACCAACCTCATCATAGCCATTATTACTATCATAAGATAAGATTTCACCAGTGAAGAGGTTCTACCCGATTGTATTGCGTTCCTTAATTAGTCAACTTTAAAATATATATTCTAGGTTATCATTAATTAATTAAGTGTTTAATTGTTCAGTAACGATACTTGATGGCAACGCGGAGAGGAAACAAAGTTGACAAATTGGTCTCATTTGTGCAATATACATGAGATATAGTAAACAGTGGTGTCATATATACACCAATACAACAATGATTTACCAGCGGTCGTAAACTTGACACGTATACGCTATGTGATGCCCAGACCTACCCGTGAATTCATGTCCCATACACTGCAGTAGTACGCACAGTTTGCCCGCCATGGTGCTGGTATGAACCTGATATAGTTTTAAACGGTAAATGAAGCGGGCGTAAAATATGCGATACTAGTGGGCAAAGTTGCGTCCCTTCACTGTCCCAGGATGGAGTGTCTAATACCAGTTTCGTCCTGAGTATGTTTCGCCCTGAACTATTCGCATCAATGTCCTCCAACATTAAGCTGACCCGCGATGCAATAACTACAATAATGTTCCTAGTGGTGTTAAACCCCATACACTTACTCATTCACTCAAATGATAAATAATAGTGGATATCTACGTCGACCTCGACACGTGATTCACGTGAACCGTGAGAAGGACATTTATCTGCTGGAGCAGGTGGCGTGCTGTACACGATATGCACATGCTGCACGTGCTGTAAGTACATGCACTTCTGTCAGCGATACAACCCTCTCTCATACAACACCTGTCACTTGATGATAGAGATAACTGCATGAATGGCTGTCAGATACTACATATTTTACAACGAGTTGTTTCAAAACGCATATACTGAGCGAAAGCCAATTAGATACGTTTTGAAACAACTCGTAAGATAAATGGCATTTGATGCAGTAATCTATTTTTTATCCATCCTAAAGTCGCACCATTTTTAACATACGTCTGACACCAGTTATCTCAAAGGGCGTTTCTTTTTCACAGTTGTGTAAGAAGGAGGGTTTTTTAAACTCAAACGGACCTGTCACCTGACCTCAATGGCTTGGCACAAACGGAACGGCTTGTGTTTTACATTTAAGACTTACACAGAATAACCAACGAGACAATAGGGACTGTGATTTTCTGTCTCAAGTCGATGCATGGTGCAAGCCCCGCGCCCTTGGTCAAAATTTGCAAGGGATTTACATCACACATTCACTTTCAATTTAAACAGATGCTCATATATTAAAAAAACCAACGAACTGTATTCTTTGAAACTTGTCGGCAAAAAAGGGCACATGTAAAACAATGGCAGTGATTCTTTTTTAGAACCCCTTACACAGTTACATCACTCACATCTGCGTTCGGTTGATAATTTATTGCTTATCTAAAAACTGTGGGAAGCGGTATTTTTTATACGAGAAAAAATTAAAGTAACATTTGCACACAAACGGAACACTGTTCCTGAAATCACCTCAACTCTGAGCTACTTGTCAGCAGAAAACATCGACAAATATTACTAAAATTATTTGTAAGTTTTGTGTATTTCCTTGGATCCACACCCGTGAAGATCCGTGTTAGAATAGGTTTTCAGCAACCGATGCTTTTCGTAAGAGTTGATTGTGCTTGTCGTATGAGACGACTAACGGGATCGGGTGGTCAGGCTCGCTGACTTGGCCGATGCATGTCATCGTATCCCAATTGCGTGGATCGATGCTTATGATGTCAATCACAAGATTGTTTTGTCCAGACTCGATTATTTACCGACTGCCGTCATATAGCTGGAATATTGTTGAGTGCGGCATTAATCAACAAACCATCACCAACAACATAAAACTTGTAAAGGTCAGGGTCAAAGATATTTTTTATGCGAAGGCAGACAACAGTATAAAAATATTCACCGAATCGATGAATTTGTTGTGTACATTGCCGAAGAAATAAATAAGACTTGATAAATTATTAATTTCCTGCATCTGAAAAAACGACCTCGTTCTCGGCGCGAGGACTGTGTAATTCAATCTATTGGTTCTGGAGAACGTTGCTGTATTTCAAAAGTGTCGGACGTCATCTGGCATTCATGACTTGGTAACACTAAAAACATTTACAGGCAATTATAGAAAAATGTTTGAGAACGAAACTATTTGTATTCTTGTAGTTTAGACATGCGTTCGAACAGGAAACTGGAAAACCAATTTTCGCGGCAAATTGGGGTGGTGGGGTAGCCTAGTGGTTAAAGCATTCGCTCGGCACGCCTAAGGCCAAGGTTTGATTCCCCACTCGGACACAATGTGTGAAGCCCATTTATGGTGTCTCCCGCAATGATATTGCTGGAATATTGCTAAAAGCGTTGTAAATCCAAACTCACTCACTCACTCGTATCAAATTTTAAAACAGCACTTGTTCCAAACTTGTTCGTGGGGTTGGGTGAATTCTTCACTGCAGACAGCAGGACTTTTACGGGATCAGCGGCATAAAAAAGGTCGTCCGTTTTCTACAAGCGTGCAGCACGTTCTTGTCGATTTCCAAGGACGGAAATCCCCACTAATACATCACTCAAGCAATCATTTAATGAAGTATTTCCCCATCGAGATATAAACATGAAATGAACATTACCTGTCACTCAATTAACAATCCTTATCGCGCAGTGAGCATTGGCAGTCTGTGGGATACACCATCGATCAGACTGATTGATTGAAATAAGCACGTGACAGCTATTGACAACTTGTGTCTTTCAGATAGCGTGAGAATGTCAATACTGACGTTTGGTGTAATTATTGGCAACAAGGAAGGGCAAAATCTCAGGATATCTCTCAGTCTCTCATTGCCAGAACTGACAGAAATTACATTCACTGTAGCTTTCTTTTTGTCGCACACACACACAAAGCATCAAATAAAATCTTTTTAAAAAAAACAATCACAGTGACTGCGTGAATATGGTTTTACGCCGCTTTTAGCGATATTTCAGCAATGTCACGACGGGGGACACCAGCAATGTGTTTCACGCATTGTGCCCATGTGGGGAATCACAGGCCTTCGGTGTGACGAGCGAACGCTTTACCCACTAGGCTACCCCACCGCCCCATAAAAATATTCACAACTATTATATTCTCGAAAACCTTTTATTCATGAAGACATCAGGGAGAGTTGAAAAATAGCTTATATGAACTAAGGCGGTGCCATTCCCAGTGAAACCGTCCAGAATATAAAAATCAAATTCATATCAACGAAGTTGTTTGTCAATGTATTTTGAATAGAATCAACCGTTATGAAGCCCCGAGTGGTGGGGGGTCCTGATAAATGAGGTTCTGTCTAACGGTATTTCACTTTTCAATTGAAGGGAATAGTCAAGTGAAAATATCTGCCTTTAAGGATATGAACTAGGACGCGAATATATTTACATGATCAGGCATGTTTTAAGATATTATCCTCAAATAATAAGTTAAGTAAAACATTAATTGTTTTCATGGTTTTTAATGGACCAGGTAATAAATGCATGCGCGTAATGCATAACCTGCGCGTGTGTGTATACGCAAACATGTGAATATATCTATATATGTAGGACTTATCCGTCTCTCTTTCAGCGTCGACTGGGTGAACCTGTCTTCTCCTGACTAACATGAGGTTGATTATCACTGACAACATAATGTTTCTCAATTATTTGTGATTTCAAGTTTTGTATTTGCCTGCCTATTCTTGTCTGTAGATGTGACCATGGCTGTGATATAACCAGGTTTTTCAAACACCTTAACGTTGACCTTGACCTTTGACTAATCTTGACCAGAGCCTTTTCGAAGCAGGGTCCCCTCCTTGACAAGGTATATACCAAGTTTAAAGATGAACACATTGACAGTGTTTGAGAAGGCGTAACCACTAACATTTTTGTGAGTTGTTTCGAACTCGTGATCTTGACCTTTGGCCTTGTAATGGTATGTGCCATGTATCTAGGGCCATGTGGAAGTCCATGGCAAAATAACCTCAATGTTAATCTACAAGCAATAGACATCAGAAGATCAGAGGGGCGGCGGTCAATTGTGGACACAGAAATGAGAACAGTCAATTCCTATAACGCATTTTCTTATTCTAAGTCAGATTACTGTTGTCAAACTGGGCTGTGATCATACTGGCCTAGACCCGTGAAGACCCATGAAGACCCGTAGAATAGGTCTTGAGCAGCCCACGCCTGTCGTAAAAGGCGACTATGCTTGTCGTCAGAGGCCACTAACGGGATCGGGTGATCAGGCTCGCTGACTTGGTTGATGTCTGTCATCCTATTCCATTTGCGTGAATCGATG